GAAGAGGAAACCACAGTTCCCTGTTTTTAACTATTCACTGACTCCATGCTGACGGTCGGCTGGCGTATGCCATTAAAGAGAGAAACTGTTTTTTTTTTAAATGCAACACTGATTCGTAGTAAAAATATCTGTGGCCTAGATCTGGCACACGTGACACTTTGATTTGGCCCACATTCTGCCTGGAATGATTGCACCAGGGCAGTCTTCCTCTCCTTGCCAGTACTTGGCCACAGCTTGGCCAAAATGTTGCCATGTGTCAGCCAAAAGTAGTCCAAATATGCAGAGCGGGCCAGTGTGGGGTCATGTTGGGTGACAGTTTGATTACAAACTGCCAAGAGCAGCATGTTTCTGCCCATCGAAGTTCACATTTGGGCCGCGTTTGATTTTCTTCATAAATGAGCCACTTTGGTCGTGTACGTGTCCGTTTGGTCGGAGCCAGCGGGAGTGGACGCGTCACGTCCAGAAGTGGTCGACGTCAGCATGCTTTTTTTGGGGAAATATTTGAAAATCTAAAGCTGTTTGAATGCAGCAGTAGAGTGACCTTTGACCTTCCATCAAATCATTTGATCCCCTGTAGGAGGAAGAGGTAATGAAGCAGCAGAAGAAGCTGGAGGAGGAGAGGTGGGAGCTGCAGAGTAAGAAGGAGGAGTACCAGAGGGACCTGGAGAGGCTGCGAGACGCACAGAAGAAGCTGGAGAGGGACAAGGAGGCGGTGAGGCGGCAGATAGACAAGATGGAGAGCGAGGTGAGCGCAGAACGTGCAAATATATAAACAACAACAACAACAAAATCAATTTTAGTCTCATTTGATGCCTCCTACACGTCCGTCTCCATAGCTACAGTGACACAACTGTGGTTGTGGCTTAGACATATGGTGGAGACGTATTATGTAAAATTGACTGTCTGGGTGGTGGTTCACGTCCCGGTGTCCCCGGAGTGTCCTACTCCTGAAGAGAATTAGGTCGGTGTTGAATAATCAGACAAATCTACGTGTGTGTCTTAAAACCAGCCGTTTAGTTTCTCTCCACCCACTGCACCGTGAAGCTCCGCCCACACCGTGACATCACATGTGTCAGGATCCGCTGTTCATTTTAATCAGATTTGAGTGTTAGACTGCTGTCATGGCCGACGCCGAGGCTCAGCACTGAGCTAAACAGACGACAGCTTTAATATGTGATCTGTAGTGTTGAATAATCAGACAAATCTACGACTACTACTACCACCACCACTACTACTACTACTACCACTACTACTACTACTGCTATTGCTACTACTACTGTACAACTACTACTACTAATTTCTCTACTACTACTAATGCTACTACTCTTATTACTAACTACTTCTGCTACTTATATTACAACACCTATTGCTACTACTTCTACTACCACCACTATTACTACTAACCAGTGACTAATTCATTCTCGGCCTTTGACTTCCTTCTGGAGCTTCTTTTTGTTCTGAAACTTTTAGTCTAAGTAACACAGTTGTTGTTGTTTTTTTTTTTTCTAATTTCATGTAAATTTTCTGTATGAAATCTGGCAGCATCTGATGCTGAAATCCAACGTTCAAACAAATGCGATGTGATAACAATGGCTGTCATGGTTATATATTTATGTGACTGTGAACTGTGAAAACACTCAAACGCAACAAACTGCAAGTATATTTCCAAGTTCCAACAATAAAAAAAAACAACTTTTTTTTTAAACCGTAAATAAACTTTATTTTGACTCTGCTACTGTTTTATTTATGCTCATGTTTTATTCAGCTCGCAAAAACAAACTTTGTACCTTTCTTACATATTCATTTACAGATGTAGACGGCAGCTGTTCGCCTCTAACTTCCATCGTTTTTTTTTTGACTTCTAGAGAACTCCCTCTACCACGTCTGATGAATCCCAGTTCCTTGGCAGCTCCCAGTCTCTGGAGCCAGACCCGCTGGAGTTCTTAGCCACCTCCTGCTCCTCTACCTCCTCGTTCCTGCCCGTGCTGCAGCCGCAGCAGTCGAAGCCCAAAGGGAAGGGCCTGAATCCATTCACCTTATCCTCCACCAGCACCAACCTCAAAAGCAGTGAGGCCAACAACCAGATCTCAAAGAGTCTGCTGCAGCTGGCCAAGAGCAGGAGCAAAGAGACCAAGGAGAAGAAGAAGAAGAAGGAGAAAGGAGGGAGTTCTCAGACAGCAGGTACAGTCGGGAGGGAGGGGCTCTAATTATTCACTGTCTGACTCCCCATGAACAGAGGGAAGTTCACCCAAGGACGACGTGTGAAGTTTGCTGGTAGCTGTAAGGCGTATCAGAAAATGAATAATGTTTTTGACTGACATTAGGAGAAATAAGATGTTGAATTTATCAACCTTTTGTCCTGTTGCTACACAGATTTTTTTTCAAAATCAAATTATAATATATATGTGTGTGGGAATTTATCAACCTTTTGTCCTGTTGCTATATGTGTGTGGGTTTTTTTAATTTTATTTCTGGAAAATGAAGAGCCCAAACCATCAAGCATCAAATCTACCGTAGACAAAAACGTCAGCGGCCACTTATAAAAACGCCCATGAACAGAATCCACAGGATGATTGTGTCGCTGTTGAAAAGATTTAAACAGTGTCTATAGAGCGACACTTCTCAGACTGCACGCTTTGAAAAGATTTTCACTGAGCAGAGTTTGAAAGAGAGACTCGTCTTTGGTGTCTTTCTGTATAAAAAACCTCTTCTTCTTTGGCTCGACCAAAAAACGAGGGCAAGTTAAAAAGTTTTAAGACATATGTTTCCAATGACAAGGTGCCATTTTTTTAGGGAAAGTAAAATATAGAACATGTCTCTAAAGATTCTGAACCAGATTTGTCAGATCATCTCTGCCTCGAGTTAAGTGTTATTTCTTTTTATTTGTTACCAGATTTGTCAGATCATCTCTGCCTCAAGTTAAGTGTTATTTTTTGTATTTGTTTTTTTTATCAGGTTTTTCAAATGGAAACTTGTTCCTTTTTTATTTGTTTTTTTTATCAGGAAACTTGTTCCCGATTGTGCCTTAAAAATAGGTTTGGGGAAAAATGGCTGTATATGCAAGTAAAAGTCACTAGATGGCAGCATTGCAGCTCATTTAATTAACCTATTTTTATAATCAGGAGATTGTATGCAGAACAGATTAAGAATAAATAAATAAATATCACCAGGCGGTGATATTTATCAGTATCAGTCGATATCGGAATCGGAAATTAAATGTTTGGACAATATCGGCATATTGGATATCAGCAAACAGTTAATACCTGACGTCCTTAAATCAAACAGAACTCCTCGGCTCACTTTAATATTTCTTTGTTCTTTAGCATGAAATGAAATCATTAAAAGCACAAACAGCGTTGTCTACAGTATAATAAAGAAATCATGGAGGTCTGCTAAAAAGAATAATGAGCCAACAGGAAATTCATTACGGTAACAATAAAACCTATTTGCCCGCTGTGAGTTAAAGCAGGTTTTAAATGCCATTCTAATAAAAATAATTTAAAAAATGCTGCAGTTGTAATTTAACAAAGATTGTTTTTTTTAATTCCGTGTTGTTTTCTTCTAACCCCAACTGCAGCTCAGAGGAAATAGACAGATTGTGATAAGTTGAAATAAAAACTAAACCCCTGATGTGTTTTAAAATAATAATAATAGGAAAAAAAATCCTCACTGTTAAATATTGAAGATAATCTTTATCGGCTCCTGAGTTATTATTTTTCTCTCCTCTTATCTCTGCTCCCTGTCAGCCACTGTCTCTAATAATATGCATTTCTTATATATACATATATATATATATATATATAAGTTTGTTTATTCATTAAACTAAATGTTTTTGTGGTCTGTGGAGGGTGGCGGTGGCAGTGGTTGTGGGTGGAGCAGCTTTTTTAGCTCTAGTGTTTTTTTATTTCTTTCCTGCTCCAGATAAGAACAGTCTGAGTTTCCATGGTAATTTTCTTCCCTGGAAAGAAAAACAACAACAAAAAAATAATAAAAATAGATAAAGAAAAGTCTTCCCTGGAAAGAAAAACAACAACAACAAAAAATTAATAAAAATAGATAAAGAAAAACAAAGCAAGATTCTCATTTTGAATTTGCGTTAACCAAAGCTGATTGTTGTTGCGTCTGCAGCTGTGTGTGGTCAGTCTGGTCAGTGCTCAGCCCTTTAACAACCAGGTTCACGCTGCTCACTGAACCCGTCTGTGGAACAAATGTTAAAGCAGATCAGCAAGAAACACAGTGACATCATAAAAACTCTCCTCTGCTCCTCCTTCCAGACACCCAGCACCGTCAGGAGCCTCCTCTGGACGGAGAGATCTTCTTCTGCTGAGGGCGCCGTGTCTTCAGAACGTCTGAGAGCGAGGGGTCGTCGTGAAACGAACCAACGTGGATGAGACGTCAGGCCTTTGACGAACAACCACAGACACGGTGTTTACCACTTTTTTTTTTAATCGTGGGAAAAAGTCAAATATTTTTGGGAGTCGCCGTCTCTTACGAGGTGAGACAAATGCAGGCCTTCAGTCCATTGGAAATACGGAGGAGCTCGTTCACACTCTTCACTGCACAAAGAAAACTTCTCTTTTCCAAAGAAGCCGTTGTGACGGTGGGTTAACGGTGTTTTATGGACTCGACTGCCTTCATGTTTTATGATCCAGACCAACAGTGTTTGAACCATCCTTAACCAGAAGGACTTGTCCTCCACTAACAGATGAGTACAGATACAGATACGCTGCAAAAAAAGTTGGTTAGTGCTCTAGCCTTACAGTAAGACGATCAACGTTCGATTCCGGTTTGTTCTGATGGAGTTTCTAGTTTTCCTCCAAAGGTCTAAAAACATGTGGATCAGGTTAATTGCTGACTCCAAAAATAACCAGAGGTCAAAGTGTCATGGGATGGACAGGTGAACTGTTTAGGGTGTACAGCGCCCTCACCTGGGGAACGCTGGGAATGGCAATCAAAAAAAATGTAATATCAGTGTTGCATCAGATACTGACTTGTCAAAGATTTCATTAATAATTGAATCATTACTGAAGAGACGAAATTGTGTCCAATATTTCTAACTTGTTTTATTGTTCATTCATTTTAATATTTACTGTTCCTTCAAATTGAAACGTTTACTGTTTACGTTGTTCTCTGTTTGCAGTCACAACGTCCGTGCCGTTCCAGTGATGTTTTTGTGCTGATTGTATGCTTGTTAAAACCAATGCCACACGTACTGCGTTGTGTGTGTGTGCGGTTCTGTATACCCGGACCTAACAGCTACGGCAGGATCAGGCCGTATCTCCCCGTGTCTAATGACTTAATTCATATCCTTTATTGTGTTTCGGTGCCTTGAATGGATATGAGCTTGATCTTGGCATTATCTGCCGTTCACCGGGCCTTTATTCAGCCCTCGTCCTTCATCTGAGCACCGACCGGCGTGGGCTCTTGTTCGTACTATTTAATTGCGTGTGACTGTGCAGGTAGCATACTGATCGCCTCTGTCTGTCGAGCATCCGCAGCTCCTCTGTCCTTGCTCTCGTTCACCGCTGATAATTGATTGAGTAGACACTCAAACACACACACACAGTCAAACACACACACAGAAGTTTAAGCTGTTTGGTTTTTTTTAAAAAGACAAAACAACTTGTTTGTTCAGACGTCAACAGGATATGAACCAAAAACACCAGACGATGTTTGCTGTTTATGTGGAACCACTACGCTCACAACCTGAGTCTCACATCATTTCAAACCAGTCAACGCCCGTCGACGTCGTTAAGCACTTTGGCCAGAATATGTTTGACGTTTTTTTACAGTTCTGAAAAATGACCAAAGGAGACGTTAGAACGTTGCTAACAGAGGACACTGATGCTCGTAAAAAAAAAGAAAAAAAAAAGGCAGAAATGTTCCAAAGCGCTATAATTTGTGAAATGCATAACAGATGCTGCAGTTTCACTTTGTTGGTGTACATTTAAAGTTTAGCTTTTATGAACTGTTTCCAAGGTGACTTTTGGACTTGTCTTAAATTTTAAGCCTGTGTTTTTTAGACCCGCTGCACCACAGCGGGCCCAACAACAACAACTGCCTGCTGGACAGGTAGAAAACAAAATGGTTCTTTTTTCCACTGAGGAACAGAGCGGCGTCACTCAGTCTGCCTCTCTGCTGCCTCTTCTGTTTTCACGTTGAAGTGCTTGATTAATCACTCACTCCAAACCTGTGGTGAGGATTCGACCTCATGTCCCTGCAGGTCGGTAACAGTCGTTCTCTGCCAATTAGTTACTTCCTGTCTGTTGTCTGTGGCTTTTGTTAAGTCCAGAGCTAGAAACAGTAGAAAAGCAGGTTCTTTTTTTTCTCTCCCTCTCTGTTGCTTTAAATGTCATTTGACCACTAGGGAGCACTCTACCTATAAGTAAATGAGATTCTACTCCTTACACAACAACAACAACAAACACCAGGTTTTTTTTTCTTCTCTCCTTTCTGTCGCTTTAATACATTCTTCTCCCTACTATGCAGAATTGACATTTTTTTCTCAGCAGGTCACTGCCATACAGAGATAATGTGATGAGCGTGGGCTCTCATTCTGACATTTTCTCAACAGCATTCATAATTGACTGCAGAAACAAATAAGTTGTCAGAGATTATAATTGGTTATTGAGAGAGAGAGAGAGAGAGAGAGAGGTCGGCAGCAGCTTTAATGTTGGAAAAGAAACCGAAAGAACCGCAAAGCTTTCTCTGAGTGTGGGACAATCGAGTCAGGAAAATGAACTCCTGCCCTGATGATGATAAGCCTGTCCATAAGACGAGTGTGTCCATCAGGCCCAGCCTGCGTCGCCTTAAATCTTAACAATAAAATGCACTAGAGTAGAACCTGGCATCTTCTCAGGAGAGAGAGAGAGATAGAGAGAGGAGAGCTTTTATACCTCGGCTTCAAGCGAAGGAAATGTTTGTACTGTAGAAGAGGTACACACACAACTGTTTCACTCTTCTCATATGTAAAAAAAAAAAGAGAAGAAGATAAAGAAGAAAAAAGGGCAAATGTGTAAATATGATTTCTGTACAAAAGAAAAACAAACCACGTGTAAAAACTGAAGACTTGTTCCCCTGATGCAACGTTTTTGTATGAATGTCTTATTTATGTTTTAATCTCACCTGCTGGGCTAAGAACAATGTAAAGTCACATTTCTCTCATTATTAAAAAATAATAATAATAACTGACTTCTGGGTGAGTGTCAGTCATTTCCTCATTCATTGAACTGTTAACCAGAGATTTGCACCTGAAGTGAATGGTGCCGTTTAGTATGTACATCATTTAGTCATTGTTATATATAAATATTTATGTGTATATATACACATATATTCATAAATATTTATATATATGTATGTATAAATATATTTGCATATATATGTATATCTATATGGCTTCACCGTGTGGTGTTAAAGGTCATCTGTATTCTCCTCCCTGTATATATTTTCCTTATATCCCCACGCCTCCACTGGGGATCTTCTTTCCCTTCTGCCAACATTCCATCTCATTGTTTTACCTCGTCACCTTGTCCCGTGTCTCGGTGTCACCATGACAACCAACAGCACATGAATGTATTGAGTTATCGCCGCATCTCGTTAGCAGTTATCTACTGCAGGGCAACTTTCACGTATGGGGAAAAGGAATCTAAAAACGGGATAAGGAAACTTTTACAGTAGTTTGCTCTGACAAACACAGTTCAGATTGCACCCGTAGAGCCACTGATTCCCAGTTTGGTCTTATCACATTTTGTCTCTGGAGTTTATGTGGTGAATGAGCAAAATGGAGAAACACTTTGAGGAGGGCTGAAAAGCAATCTCATGGTTCAAATGATAAGCTGCAGCCTGCGCTGCAGTATGGAGTGATGGGATTGTGACAAGACGGAGGTGATGTACAAGATCCTACAGCATAAGAAGATGGGGGGAAAAAAGTGTTTACAGGACTCAAACACAGACGGTTTCCAGAGGCGGAATGCTGCAGGGCTGAGCAGCCAGAGGACCGTCTGCAGCACGGAGCACAGAGATTAAAGCAGCTGCTGCTTTATTTATCAGCAGGTACAGTACCGGCGCTGCTGTGTGTCTACACTGCTGTCAATCCATCAAGACTGTTGTCAGTTCTCTCCCCGGGCAGTGATGCTCAAACAGCACTGCAGCCACTAATGTGTACAGGAAACGGAACCATTAACACAATTCAGTGACAGCAACTGAAGAGTTTCTGAGGCCAAGAAAAAATGACATGTCTTTTTATAAGGTCTGTGAAATATCACACTTTTCACAAACTAGTTCTTGTTAAGATGAGTCCTAAAAAGGCTGATGTTCAGTGGAAAGGAAGTTTGTTTCCTATCCAGAGGGTTGCGGGCTCCAATCCATCCGTGTGCCTCCATTTAACCCACATCCTGATTAAAAACATTGCCAAAATTACTGAACAAAAAAATAAATAAAAAAATCTTCTCTTCTCTTTGGAGCTCACTGTAAAGTTTTCTCCAGAACATTCCACAGATTCTCAATGGACTTGAGGTTTGGACTGAATGGTGGCCAGTCCACGTTTGAAAATCTTTCACGTTCCCTGAACTTTTCTCTCGTCATTTGAGCTCAAACACTCCTGTTGCTCTCGTTTAGAAATATTTGTGGACGATCAGAGGAGGAGGAGAAACAAAAACAAAAACAAAAAACAACAGTAACAGACTGACTGTTTTTACTCATCACTGCCCCCTGTCTGTTGTGTATTTATTTGCAGTAACTCTCAGTGTTAAACACAGTCAGTCATTCACTGTATTCTACCACTGATTGATGATCAGGGTCCTGGAGGGCAGCCTGGAGCCAATCCCAGCAGTCGTTGGTTGAGGGCGGGGTTACAGTGCTGTACATCACACACACATGGCTTTGGTCAACCTTTGGCTCTTTTTAAATAATCCCATGACAATAGTCGATGGTCAAATTTATTATCTCTAGAACCTGAGGTTTGTAAGGTGAGGAAATCTCCCCCCGTCCTGCACTGGGGGCTAAAGGCTTTGATAGGTCCGTGTGTAACAAAGAAACATATTTTATTTGTCTACGGCAGACGGTGAAAACACAGGTAATTTCGAGTCGTTTGTATTCAATGGATAAAAGTGCTTTGAAAGGTGTATAGATTGAAGTAAAAGCGTGGAGGAGGGAGGATGCACGCTGCATATGAGATGTATAATAAACTACAAACACACTGTGATGGGATGTTTTTTTTTTTCTTCACTGCTGTATAAAGACAAGGTTTCTTTAGTTCTGTGTTTGTTTTTGTGGAGCACAAATGTATTTGTTGTGATGACGGCCTCAGGTCTGCACCGTGACAAATCTAAAAATATAAAAGTAACTTTGAAAACAAATCACTTTCTTAAAGTTCTCCCAAAAGTGATGACATGTTCAGACTGCCTGCTGTGTGTGTGTGTGTGTGTGTGTGTGTGTGTGTGACTCCGGCCTCCTCTTGACCCTGAATAGAAATGGGAACAGAACATGCATAATGAATAATAGTGGCAGAGTAAGTTCTTTCACCTCGCACCACCTTGTTTTTAGAAGTCATGGGATGTAAAGTTCAAGAACAAAGAAGTGGTGGATCAGCAGCAGCAGCAGCAGCAGCAGCAGCAGCAGCAGTGCCTGTGCACAGCTGCAATGAACCCCACTGCATTCTCACACAGTGGATATTTACAGAATGCTGAGCAGATATTATTCCACGCCTCCCGGTGGTTGGAGGGGAACCTCTCCGGGCTGTATAGCAGCGTGGGGAGGGCGGCGTGTCTGCAGCGAGGATGCGGGGCGGGCACAGACTCTGCCAGGTCCTCCATCTTGCTCAGAGATGTGGGGATGATTTAGGAGACCTGTCTCTATCACGGTGTGGGGAGAGGGAGCGGGGTCGAGCAATCCTATTACTCCTCAGTGACCCTGCCTTAATGCGAACACACACACTAATGCCGCGTACACTTTCACAAAGCCTCACACCAAGCTGAGAGACCACACTGGAGTTAAAAACCAGCAGGCAGCGTGTTGTTACATCAGAATACAGAAGGGTGGTCTCAAAATCTCAAAAAGTGTGGACGGCATGAAAACCTCAGAAGAATTTTATAAAGCAAATATAACTTAATATCTTAATTACTTGTGGCGTACACCACAAAGTCAGTTGTTTTTCATTTAAACTGAATTTAAATGGATAAACATATATAAAATAAATCTGCCGGTCTTTAATGTAAAAATAAAATTATAATGGCTGCTACTTGTTCACCACAAAGGAAAATTACAATAATTCTAATTACTTGACTTTACAACAGAAATACCCACTTGTGTTGATTATCTTCTTTGACTAGATACAGTATGTATTGATCAAAATACACATTTGAACATCTATTTAAATCTAAAATTAAAAGATTGAAAAAATAAATCTGTGTGGCGCCTGCAATGCCTTTGACTACCACTAAAATTCCGTGGACAAACGGAGGAAAAAAAACGCGCGATTTAAAAGGTTTTATTGGGGTTTCCTGTATTATATTTTTGAAAGAAGTTCAGAAACGTTCCTGTTTCTTTTACTTCCGGGTTGTCTTCTCCTTGATTGGCTACTCCACCCTGCTGCGTTCTACCTGTGTTCAGTGACTGTCCGTCACTTCCGCTTCTTTGTGTGTCGACATTCAAAATGTTTGACGTGAATTTAACGGCTGAATACGCTGTTTTTCCAATGTTGCTGCGCCTTGTCTTTATGTTGTGGATTTTAAAGTTTTGTTTTTAAACTTTGTAAGTATTTTGCTGTTGTGTTGTTTAAAAAATAAAAACGTTTCTGGTACATTTGGTTTTCAGGCATTTAAGGTAAAACGCATTATATTTGGCCTAAAAGCGTTTTACATGTACTATTTGTAAGGGCTTTTAAGGCCTAGTAAGAAATATACATACTTTAAATCTGTTTTTGCAAATCAAATCTTTTAAAGGCACTTTCCACCACATTTGACTCCACATTCTTCTAAAGCAAAATTGTCAAAGCAGTAGGAGTTCGAATAATGTGTGTGGTTTCCTCACATTTACTGTAATAGTGTCTAAACAGTATTATTTCCACAGTGCACCACTGTGTGACAGACAGAATAAAGTCATGTGAGTGAGAGGAAATGTGAAAAACAACAGGAGCACACAGGAGCAGGTGATGAGGTTGTTATTGGAGCACACGTTCACTGGTTACTCTGAAGAGCCTCATAAATAAAAATAAGAACATAAAGCTTATTGATGGGTGTCTAAACATTAACTTTTTTTTTTTTTTTTTAGAATATGTGATTAAATCCGAAGTACAGTATAATGAAGATTAAACACTGCCTGAATGCTGTGGGTAGAAAATTATTTAGAGGCTGGATTTGGAAGGAATCACAATCGAACGTTTCTGTACTAGTAAAAGAAATGTAACCAAATGATGAGGTTTACTGAATTCTGTTAGGTGATGCCGGTTGTGTCACATCTCATGACTAGGAAAGAGCAGCAACAGCACAGGAGATGAACAACCAAGGGATGAGCCACCACCACCAGCAGAGGAGCGGCTTCAGGAGAGGTTGAAGAAGAGCCGAGCATCAGACAGACAGATGGTGAGTAGACGCCCCGCTGCTACACTATTGTGATGACTCTGCTGGGTCGTGACTAAAAGGTTTAGCAGCAGTGAACTAGAGCAGTGTGGTGGGGGCCCTCCTCACCCCCGTAGTGCTCTCTCTCCCACTCTACTTGTAAACACCAAGTCTGTAGAATGCCCTGAACACGTCTGGCCGACTCCTCTTTCGGTAGCTGCTAACTTTTGATACTGGCCGACTCCTCTTTCGGTAGCTGCTGTTGACTGTCGTGGTAATGGCTAGTCTCTCTCTTGTTGGAAGGAACTTTTGATGACCTCTGCATGCTGCTTAATAAGCTGTGGTCAACATGACCGGTGTCACAGTCACTCCCTGTGGGCAGAAAAATCAAGAACAAAAATAATTGAATGGCTTCTTTAGCCAGTCTGGGTCACTGGGACAGTTTGACACTTTTATTGCTGGTGGTTTTGGATTGTAATCGAGTATAAAATAGATTTGTTTTTCTATTGTCTTCAACTGAACAGGACTTACAGTTAGAAATGTAGAGAGCCTATCTTATAAGGTTAGAAATAAATGCTTTCATGTTGACTTTGATTGAACAATAACCCAAGATTGTTTTGCCATTTCAGTTACAAA